TTCACTACTGTTACACCAGATATGAGTTGCACTGGTGTGACACTGTGCCCTGGCAGGCCCTGAAACGCACACGTGTGAAGGAAACTGACTGCTATTTTATTACAGTCCAAAAAGTTTTTTTCTTTTTTAAATGCAAGCTATTGGGACACCAGTGAGTGAGTGGTGGCACTGGGCAGGCCCTGAAACGCACACTCGTGAAGGAAACTGACTCCTATTATATTACAGTCCAAAAAGTTTTTTTTTTGTTAAATGCAAGCTATTGTGACACCGGATATGAGTGATGGCACTGGGCAAGTGGGCACAGTATACGCTGTGAGCCTGACACACACGCTGGCAGACAACTAACTGCTATTCAATCTATTACAGTCAAAATTAGTTTTTATTTATTTTTTTAAATATACACTACTGTTACACCAGATATGAGTTGCACTGGTGTGACACTGTGCCCTGGCAGACCCTGAAACGCACACGCATGAAGGAAACTGACTGCTATTATATTACAGTCCAAAAAGTTGTTGTTTTTTTTAAATGCAAGCTATCAGGACACCAGTGAGTGAGTGGTGGCACTGGGCAGGCCCTGAAACGCACACTCGTGAAGGAAACTGACTGCTATTATATTACAGTCCAAAAAGTTTTGTTTTTGTTAAATGCAAGCTATTGTGACACCGGATATGAGTGGTGGCACTGGGCAAGTGGGCACAGTATACGCTGTGAGCCTGACACACACGCTGGCAGACAACTAACTGCTATTCAATCTATTACAGTCAAAATTGTATTTTTTTTTAAATGTACACTACTGTTACACCAGATATGAGTTGCACTGGTGTGACACTGTGCCCTGGCAGGCCCTGAAACGCACACGCATGAAGGAAACTGACTGCTATTATATTACAGTCCAAAAAGTTTTGTTTTTTTAAATGCAAGCTATTAGGACACCAGTGAGTGAGTGGTGGCACTGGGCAGGCCGTGAAACGCACACTCGTGAAGAAAACTGACTGCTATTATATTACAGTCCAAAAAGTTTTGATTTTTTTTAAATGCAAGCTATTGGGATACCAGTGAGTGAGTGGTGGCACTGGGCAGGCCCTGAAACGCACACTCGTGAAGGAAACTGACTGCTATTATATTACAGTCAAAAAAGGTTTTGTTTTTTTAAATGCAAGCTATTGCAACACCAGTGAGTGAGTGGTGGCACTGGGCAAGTGGGCACAGTATATGCTGTGAGCCTGACACACAGGCTGGCAGGCAGGCAACTGCAATTACATTACACAGAAAAAAAAGCAGACTGATGTTCTAGCCCTAAAAAGGGCTTTTTGGGGTGCTGTCCTTACAGCAGAGATCAGATGAGTCCTTCAGGACTGTAGTGGACACTGAATACACTAGCCTAGCTATCAATTTCCCTATCAAATCAGCAGCAGCTACACTGTCCCTCCTCTCACTAAGAATGCAGCTTCACAATGAATGTAAAATGGATGCTGTCCAGGAGGTGGGAGGGTCTGGGAGGGAGGGTCTGCTGCTGATTGGCTGGAATGTGTCTGCTGACTGTGAGGTACAGGGTCAAAGTTTACTCAATGATAACGAATAGGGGGCGGACCAAACAGCGCATATGTTCGCCATCCATGGCGAACGCGAACAAGCGATGTTCGCCAGGAACTATTCGCCGGCGAACCGTCCGGGACATCACTATTTATAATACGAGCATTTACTGTACTGTAGGTGGATGTTGTGGAAGTTCGGGAGGGAGAGGTTGGGTTGTTCAAGTGTTAATAGGATATCGTCAGTGAATAAAATTAATTTATATTCTCTGTTTTTTTATCTTAACACCGTGTATGTTGGGATTGTCTCTGACTAGCTGGGTCAAGGGTTCTAATGTCAAAATGTAGAGGAAGGGGGAGAGGAGACAGACCTGTCGTGAACCATTGGTAATCGTAAAGCTGCGGGACATGAAGCCTCCATTAATCACCTGTGCCGATGGATGAGAGTATAGCGCAGTCACCAAAGAGATGAACCGTGGGGGGTACCCAAATCTCCTTAGGACTGCGAAGAGGAAGGACCTTTGACATACTAGTGAAAGGAATACGCTGGGGGTCCCTCTTCCTTGCAGCCCACCCAACAGGTCCAAGACCCTCCTGGTGCCATCTGCTCACTGGTGCCCAATCACAAACCTCACTTGGTCTGCATGAATGATCGTAGGGATAATTTTGGTTAGTCTGTTAGAGTATATTTTGGCTAGTAATTAAGTATCCATATTGAGTAGTGAGATTGGTCGTAAAGTTTGGCTCTTGGTAGGGGGTTTCCCTGGTTTAGGGAGAGCGGCCACATGCACCAACATCATGTCTCCCATTTTTATTATGTGCTTTATACTGATTCTAATTTTGGGGCGAGTATGTGTGAGAAGAGTTTATAATACAAATTTTAGAGGCCACCCGGCCATGGTAATTTACTCAGTGTCAGGGATGCTATGGTCTGCATGATTTTGTTGGATGTGACAGGTCTTTGCAGTATCTCCTGTTGTTGTGGGGTCAGTGACGGTAGAGATGTGAGGTCCAGGAAGCTCTCAATCTCTGAGGTAGTTGGATGGTGGGTGTTGTTATCAGTCTTGCGGTTGTATAGGGCATGGTAGAAGGTGGCCATTTTATTATTGTTGTATAACTTTTTATTAGCTTTTGATATTAGGTATGGTATTTTGGATTGTGATTGTTTCTGTCTGAGCATTGTTGCAAGTGTTTTTCCTGGCTTGCTTCCCTTGGATTAATTTATTATTTTCAGGCATTGGAGTACGTGGGCTGTTTTGGCCAGGTGCATTTCATTTGTGTCAGATGTGTGACAAAGCTGTCCTGTAGGAGGGAGTCGTTAAGGCTCTGTGTGGGAATTCATTTTGCATGGTCAGACCACACTACGGGTCCGTAAGATGCATTTTTAAACTAGGAGCCCCTCTAAAAATTATTCTCGGATTGTCTGGAATCACATTTTTTTGTAGTTTGTCTTCCTGTAACAGATGACAGTTTTTCTTAATAATCTTTTTAACCTGTTTTTATTATTATTATTATTATTATTATCGGTAAGGTAAAGTCTTTTTTAATTTTGGTGTTATGATCAAATCCTTTGTTTTTTTATCAGGCTATTTCTATCAGTTTGTTTTGTTGTATCTATAATTTTATCTATTGATTTGGAATTATAACTTTCTTCATCTCGGTGGCTTGAGTACTGAATGTATCGATTTCTGAGCAATTTCTCCTTGGTCTAAGCAGTTAGCTTTTCGGTATGCTATCCAACTATCCAGCCAGCTTTTATAATAATAATAATAATAAAGTATTTAACCAGGAAAGGTACATTCGGATTACTCTTGTTTTCAAGTACGGGGATATTACCTTAAACCCAACATCCAGGGGTTGTTACTATTACCCAATTTAATGGTAGTCATTTTTTCTACCTTGGAAGAATCAACCCTGCCAGGATTTGAATCTTCGACCAAGAATTGAACAGATTCTACTGATGATGTATTAGCCTACTGAGCTATCTCACCAGCTGTTTCTATAAAGTTATGATGTGATGGGATTGTGTAATATCCCTTTAATTGGAACTCAACTGCAGAAACAATAATTACACCTCCTTTATATTGAAGTAAACAAGCTTGACTGTATCTTTAAATACACACGCAGGAAGGAAAGCAATGCTAGTTCCAACTTAATTAAGATGGAATGATTTATTAGTATAATGATAAATAAGCTGGACAGGTTGCAATTAATAATAAATGATATTTGCAGGAGAAATAAGACTTAGTAGTAATCCCTTATTGACAAGAGAGGAATGAAGTGAAAATAATTAATATGAATTGGTTTCCTTGGAGAAAAAAGGATTACTTAACTTAGAGGAAGTTCTGGTATTGGAAGGGTTAATTCACCCAATGGAGGAGAGATTATGACTCTCTATGAATAAGCTGAGCGTTAGGAGTGGAAAGTAAGGAAGTCCGTTTTTACAAGCCGAGGTCTGGGAGTGGAGAAGGTAGAAGTCCGTTTTACAAGCCGAGGTCGAGAAGTGGAGAAGGTTGAAATCTGGTTACAAGCCGAGGTCGTGAGAGGAGTGTAGCCGGTAGCATTCAATAGAGCAGCTGATCTCAATGCCGTACCTGCGTGAATAATCCAGCCCCTTGAATCTGGCGCGGTCTTCCTAAGTATCGTGGAAGGACCGCGTCAGAGAAAAGGGGCGGGGCTAAGCGCAGTGAACCCGGAAGTGGGTTCCGGCGGCAGTATGGATGATAGAGTATACCTGACAGTACCCCCTTCTCATGGGGCATCCTCTGGGTGCACTTACTTTGGTTTAGAGGGACAGCGTTTGTGAAAAGCATCAACTAATCTTTTTGCATGAACATTAGATGAATCTTCCCAAGTATCTTCATCAACTCCATAACCTTTCCATCTAATAAGGTATTGTAAGGTGCCACGGTGGACACGTGAATCCAAAATCTTGTGTATTTCATATTCTTCTTCACCTTGGACGATGATAGGTTCAGGAGTTGTAACTATTTCTCCATGAAAAGGATCAGGGATGTGTGGTTTAAGAAGAGAGACATGGAATACTGGATGAAGTTTAAAACTTGGAGGAAGTTTTAATTTAACAACGTTATCATTGATAATTGTAATTATTTGAAAAGGACCAAGAAAAAGAGAGCTCAATTTCTTTGAAGGACGGTTTGTGGTGATATTTCTTGAAGAGAGCCAGACAAGATCCCCTACTTTGTAAGGAGGGGGAATTCTTCTTCTATTGTCAAAAAACTTTTTCTGGTAGTTTTGAGCAAGTTGAAGATTCTCCCGTAATTTGAGAAATAGAGAAGACATAAATTCGTTTTTTGATGTAACAGTAGGATTGGATGAAGTAATGGTTTGGATGGGGAATGAAGACGGATGCAAACCATAGTTGGAGAAGAAAGGAGTTATTTTCGTACTAGAATGAATGGTATTATTGTAAGAAAATTCGGCCATAGGTAACCATGTGGTCCAGTCATCTTGGAGGTATGAACAATAACATCGAAGATATTGTTCCAAACATTGATTAACCCTTTCTGTTTGCCCATTAGTTTGGGGATGATAAGCGGAAGAGAGTTTGCATTGAATTTGAAGGGAGAGACACATCTCTTTCCAGAATTTGGAGGTAAATTGTGTCCCCCTATCAGAAATAATTTCTTCAGGAAGACCATGAAGTTTCACAATATTGTCAATAAAGACTTTGGACAATTCTACAGAGGAGGGTAATTTTTTTTTAAAGAAATGAAATGGGACATTTTTGTGAAGCGATCCACAACGACAAGAATAGTGGTGAAATGTTGAGAAGGTGGAAGATCAACGATAAAATCCATGGAAATGGATTGCCAAGGTTTTTCTGGAATAGGTAAGTTAAGTATTAATCCAAAAGGTTGATTATGTTCTGGTTTAGACCTTTGACAAATAGGACATGTTTTGACATATAATTCAATGGTTCTATCCTGGCGAGGCCACCAATAATATCGTGAAGTTAGTTCAAGTGTTTTCTTTATTCCAGGATGTCCAGCTAGGGGGGAATCATGAACCATCTTAAGTAATTTATTCCTAAGAATGGGAGGAATATAAATTCTATTTTTAAAATAAAATATACCATCCTTTTTTGTTAGTATAGCTGTTTTGGGAAGTTCAAGATCCTTCTGATTCAAATTCTTTATGTCATCATGAAGAGAAGAGAGGATCCCTATTATTTTGGTAGGAGGATAATCATCAGTAGTAGTTTTAGAAGGAATTCGAGAAAGAGCGTCAGCCTTTTTATTTCTATTTCCAGGTCTGTATATTAATTGGAAGTTAAATCGGTTAAAAAATAGGTTCCATCTAACTTGTCTAGCTGTAAGGGTTTTGTTAGTATAGAGATATTCAAGATTTTTATGGTCAGTATAAACGATTATAGGTTGTTTTGTATCTTCCAGAAGATGACGCCAATTTTCGAAGGCAGCTTTAACACTTAATAATTCTTTTTCACCAATAGGATAATTTTTTTCAGCAGAGCTCAAGGATCTTGAAAAAAAGGCAACTGGATGAAGTGGATCTTGTGGAGTCTTTTGTTGAGAAAGAACTGCTCCGATGGCTGCATCTGATGCATCAACTTCAAGAACATATAGGAATGTTGGATTAGGTAGTTGTAGAATAGGTGCAGTTGTAAATCTTTTTTTTAATTCGTCGAAGGCTGTTTGTGCATCTTTATTCCAATTAAAAGGACGTTTACTACTGTTGAGGAGGTTAAGAGGATGTGATACATCCGAATAGTTTCTAATAAATTTTCTATAGAAGTTTGCAAATCCAAGAAAACGTTGTAATTCTTTTGTAGTAGTAGGAGCAGGCCAATCAATAATACATTTGATTTTGGAATTATCCATCTTCAAAGAATGAGGTGAAATAATGTATCCTAGAAAAGAGAATTCAGTAACCTCAAAAAGGCATTTTTCTGGTTTAGCGTATAATTTATGAGTTCTCAGTCTAGATAGAACCCATCTAACATGCTTCCTATGTTCATCCAAATTGTTAGAATATATTAAGATATCATCTAAATAGATAATAACACATACATCCAGAAGATCTCTAAAGATATCATTTATAAAATGTTGAAATGTTGCAGGGGCATTACAGAGCCCGAAAGGCATCACTAGATATTCGTAGAGACCATATCTTGTCCGGAAGGCGGTTTTCCATTCATCATCCTGTTTTATTCTAATGAGGTTATATGCGCCTCGAAGGTCGAGTTTAGTGAATATAGTTGCAGTTCTTAACCTTTCAATTAATTCATTTATTAGTGGAAGAGGATAACGATTTTTAATAGTTATTTTATTTAAGGCTCTGTAATCTATAATAGGACGGATGGTTTGGTCTTTATTCTTCACAAAGAAAATACTAGAAGCAGCAGGAGAGGTCGAGGGTCTGATGAACCCTTTGCGTAAATTTTCATTAAGATATTCTTTTAAAATTTCTAACTCCTTTTCAGAGAGTGGATAAATATGACCATAAGGAATAGGAGCTCCGGGTATGAGATCTATTGGGCAATCATATACCCGATGAGGAGGAAGTGTTTCTGCTTCTTTTTTACAAAAGACATCTGCAAAGTCGGAGTAGAATGGAGGTATAACTGGTTCTACAGTAGTATGGAGAATAGGAATGTGTTGTAAGCACGTTTTTTTACAGAAATCAGAAGCAAAGGAGATGGAGAAAGGAGACCACTTAATTAAAGGATCATGGTTTTTTAACCAATTAATTCCTAGAATGACGGGATAAAGTGGAGATTTAATAATATCAAATGTAATGAATTCGAAATGTACGTTGTTGGTAATCATTCTTAGAGGGATTGTTTCATTTTTGATGGGTCCTGAGGATATAAATGAACCGTCAATAACCCTGATTGGAATAAAGTTGGTTTTTTGAACACAAGGAATTTTATTTTTTGAAACAAAAGAAAAATCAAGAAAAGTTCCATTAGCACCAGAATCAATGATGGCCTCAGTCACGATTCTTTTTGTATCCCACTTTTGAATGTTTCAGTAGAGGACATTCGGAAATTAGATGTTCAGAATACATACATAAGTTTAGTTGTCTCCTTCTTATTCTTTCTTCAGAAGTAAGAGGACTTTTTATTATACCTACTTCCATAGGTTCAGTTTGTGGAGGAATTTTTTCAGGTAATTTTAGAGTAGTGAAAGGTTTTCTCCAGGTATAATTAGTAAGAACCTTTTCAGCTTTTCTTTCCCTTAGACGTCTATCAATACTGATGGACAGTTGAATCAATGCATTTAAGGTAGGAGGAAGTTCTGTACGAGAGAGTTCATCTTTCACAGCTTCAGATAATCCGAGACGGAATTGATTGCGTAAAGTAATGTCATTCCATTGGGTTTCTGTAGCCCATCTTTTGAATTCTGCAATATAATCTTCAACAGGTCTATTCTTTTGGTGTAATGTTCTGATGGTTAAATCAGCAGTAGTTTGTTTAAAAGGATCTTCATATAATAAAGACATAGCTTCAAAGAACTCATCCAATGAATCTAATATGGGATCATCATTTTCCAAAAAGGAATGGGCCCAGGCCATAGGTTCACCTCTTAAAAAAGATATTACTGAACAGACTTTGGATCTTTCGGTGGGATAAGATCTAGGTTTTAAAGCTATTAGTAATTTGCAAGAATTCAAAAACTCTCTGTACTTTGTTCTATCTCCATAAAATTTTTCTGGATTACAGACAGCAGGATCACCAGCCGATTGAAGAGCGGCATGAGGGAGATGGTTTTGCATGTCTCTGACATAGGTTAATATTCTCTCATTCGTGATTTGCAGTTCTTGTAACCCTTGAGCAATCGTATCCACTCTATTGGTTAGAGTAGTAACTTGTGAGTTAATATCTGCTGGTTCCATTGAAAAGGCTGGATTATTCTGTGATGGGATTGTGTAATATCCCTTTAATTGGAACTCAACTGCAGAAACAATAATTACACCTCCTTTATATTGAAGTAAACAAGCTTGACTGTATCTTTAAATACACATGCAGGAAGGAAAGCAATGCTAGTTCCAACTTAATTAAGATGGAATGATTTATTAGTATAATGATAAATAAGCTGGACAGGTTGCAATTAATAATAAATGATATTTGCAGGAGAAATAAGACTTAGTAGTAATCCCTTATTGACAAGAGAGGAATGAAGTGAAAATAATTAATATGAATTGGTTTCCTTGGAGAAAAAGGATTACTTAACTTAGAGGAAGTTCTGGTATTGGAAGGGTTAATTCACCCAATGGAGGAGAGATTATGACTCTCTATGAATAAGCTGAGCGTTAGGAGTGGAAAGTAAGGAAGTCCGTTTTTACAAGCCGAGGTCTGGGAGTGGAGAAGGTAGAAGTCCGTTTTCCAAGCCGAGGTCGAGAAGTGGGGAAGGTTGAAATCTGGTTACAAGCTGAGGTCGAGAGAGGAGTGTAGCCGGTAGCATTCAATAGAGCAGCTGATCTCAATGCCGTACCTGCGTGAATAATCCAGCCCCTTGAATCTGGCGCGGTCTTCCTAAGTATCGTGGAAGGACCGCGTCAGAGAAAAGGGGCGGGGCTAAGCGCCGTGAACCCGGAAGTGGGTTCCGGCGGCAGTATGGATGATAGAGTATACCTGACATATGACATGAGCTTTTTTGAAGTGTGTTTTTGTATGGATTTTTTCTCCTTAATAAAAAATGACATGAGCTTTTTTGAAGTGCGTTTTTGTATGGATTTTTTCTCCTTAATAAAAAATATCTAGATCTAAAAAAATAACATTTGTGGTGCTAAAACCTACAGTAAGTTTAATCCCATGTTTGGGCTAAACGCTGATTTTGACCTTTTAATTTTTTATATGTTTCAGTATTTCTTTATAATTTAAGCTTTCTAATTTTTCATTTATTATGGTATTCTCAATATTTTTCCTAGCTAAATCATTTTAATCATGTTACAATCCTCTCTATACTAATATAGAGTTATATATCTGTTTCCTTATGTAATTTTTTGAATATTTGGTCCATAGAGTTGTTCATGTTATTATCCACATGTCACAAATATATGTTTTTTTAATCTTACTGAATTAAAATATTTTAGTTAATATACGCTTTTAAATATGTTTCCATAAAAAAACTTTTTTATTTATGAATGCTGCTATACACTATAATTATTATGGTACCTGTATGGGGAAAACTAATTTCTTCATACAGATACTATGAAGCTGTTTATGTTGTGATGCATATGCTACAAATATATTTTTTTTCACTGAATTTAAGTATTCTAGCTAATATATGCTTTTAAATTTATGTTTTTCTTCATAAAATACATTTTATGTATAAATTTAGCTATGCACTATAATGATTACAGAATCTGTTTAAAGAAAAGTAATATTGCCCTTTCCTTTATCCTATTTTTAACATATAAACTCTAACCATGTTGCCTATGTTTTAACGCTCAGCCAACAAGGCCAACGAAGCATGAACAGCCGGTCTAAAATAAAAATTTTGGGAAAAGGGTCTCGATACTAGTCCGCCGAAAGCAAGATGTCTTGCAGTGTAGCGCCAGCCATTAAGGCGCCTGATGCCACCGCGCCCCAAACCGAATGCGCTCCGAAAGCTAGATCCACGCCTGCCAAAGACAGGAACCATCTGGTCCATCTCACCAAGGTTGTAAAGGAGACCGTATTGT